GAAACCCTACCTCAAAAAATGTGGCGAGGGGCTGGAGAGTTGGCTCCGTGGCTAAGAGCGCATGTTGTTCTTGCAAACAACCCAGGTTCCACATGCAGGTTCTCCACCTCCTTGGGCACCAGCCATGCATGTGACACACGAGTCGTACATGCAGGCCAGAGGCCAGACACTTGAATATGTAACATAACAATAAATCTAAAAAAATAATAAGAAGATGCTGGAAATCGATAGGAAAAGGTACCTGACGCCAACCTGCTCTGGCCTCCACATATATGCATACATCTGAAAGAGAAAGCTAGGAAATCCCTTCCCTGCCTCCAGCTGGCCAGCCCCTCCCCCTTGGCCCTGTATAGATTTCTTCAGGATTCTGGCCAAATTCCAATCAAGACTATTTTGGGAGAAACCACAGGGCTGACCCAGAGCCCACTCTGACTTGATGCTGGGACAGCAGAGCCATCTGCCCCTCCTTGTCCCCTCTCCCTGTGCAGGGACAGGCAGCCTGCTCTGGCTGCCACCTCTGTCCAGATCCAGCCCCTGCCAACGGCGGTTCACAACCCAGCGGAGCCCTCTCATTGTCCTGCTGAATGCTGTGTAAAAGTTCCAGGCTTTATTTGGGCTTTCTGTTTTGCCCGGTTATGCTACGGCTATGCCTCTGATGCACGCCCTGGCAGCCTTGCAGGGTGCAGGGGACCGCTGCCCCTGGATGTTGCCTTTCTCTTCCAGCCCCCCTTCCCTGTAGCACTTTTTATTCTTTCTTTTCCCTTCTATTTCTCCCTCCCTCTCTATCTTTTTTTTTTCCTATTCTTTCAACATGGTTTTCCTAAAAAGTTTTTTAATCAATCAAATTTGAGGCAGAAAATAGGTTTTGTCACGCCCGGTCCCGGGATGGTGTGACTCTCAGTCAGGCTCCTGACAGCTCCTCAATGCAGGAAGGAGGCCAAACAGAATATTTCTCCGGGAAAGTGCCCGTTTCCATGACACTGCCCCTTGTCTGTGCTGCCCCCTCCTCAAGCTGCCCGGCTGACATGCCCCCAGCCCTTGTGAAAGCCCCAGCCGGGGAGAGTGGATGAGGATGGGGAGGTGGGCTGGGGTAGCAGGGGGTGGGTAGCCAGGCAGCCTGACAGCTGTCCTGACTCTCCATGGCCTGAGAAGGCTGGGGAGCAGGTCGGAACCTCAGACAGGAGCCTTCCCTGAGGCTTCACACATATGGAGCCAGGCAGCCTGTGGGAGAGACTATGGGGCCAGGTCCTAGAGAGGTTTCGGCTCTAAACAGAAGAGACTCCCCAAGAGTCAGCTCCTCCAGGCCTTGGTATCCTGCTTCTGCACATCTTCCCCATCCCCGCTTCTTCTACCCCCTTGCCCATCAAAGATTCTCCCATCATCCTTGGCTTCTTCCTGGTCTCTCCACTCTAGCATCTTTGGTCCCTGCCAATCTCCCAGGTTCCTACTCCCCAAATCAGAGCTCTGTGAAAGCCCTCTCAGTCTTTTCTTTCTAGCCCCATTCCTTCTCCTTTCTTCCTGTCCCCATCTTTCCCCCTCTCCTCTCTGCTCTTCTCGTTCTCTTTTATAATTAATGATTAGTTTTAATTGGTTTACTTAGGCAGCCTGACAGCAAATTAACAGAAGCCAGCCCAGGGCTGCAAGGCTCGGGTGGAGACCGCTGTGTACTTCAGGCCTGGTCAAGGAAAGCGAGGACGTGGCTGTCCCACATGAACATTTCCTGTAGTGGGCTCCTGTGGACAAGCGCAGCAGCCAATAGGAAGAAGGCAACGGGCACTCTGAAAGACGGAGGACTCGCTTTGTTGGCTGTCTGTGTGCTTTTGTCTTCTTTCTCCTCATATCCCCCCTGTACCCTTATCAAAGATGAGGGTCAGGTCAAAGATAGGCATGGCAGATACCTTTAGACTGGAGAAGGTTTGCTTTTGGTGCCATTGTTTTTGCCTGTGTTGTAGCTGATGGGGTTGGCACCTCTGGGCCTACCTTTCTCATGGACAGGAAGAAAAAAGCCACTGCCACTGAGATCAGCTACTTAGGGACAGGCAGCCACCATGGCCTACAAACTCCAGAGCCCGGTTCTGATTATCACACTCCTTTGCATAGGGCCCAAAACCTTTCCATTCTCAGGGTAGTTAGGGTTAACTTTAGACAGGTGGATAGAAAAGAGATAGAAAATGGATGAATGGATTGGCGAATGAAGGATGGATAGACGGGATTGTTATATGGAGGGTGGATGGATAGAAAACTGGTAGAGGCTGGGTGGTGGCAGCACATGCCTTTAATCCCAGCACACGGGAGGCAGTGAATTCTCTGTGAGTTCCTGGTCTATAGAGCAAGTTCCAGGACAGCCAGGACTATACACAGAAACCCTGTCTTGAAAAAAAAATGTGTATATGTGAGAGAGAGACAGAGAGAGCACTGGCAGAGAGGGTGCTTTGACAGCACTTGGACACCTCTGCTATGACTCCATTTTCCTCTTCTCACTCACCCCTAACCTTAGCCTCCCTGAAGGTAGGGGCTCTCTTCTTTATGTTCTCACTGCCGCTGTCCCCTCCCCACCCTTGCAGAGCCCTTCCTTAACAATGCCAGCCTTCTCATTCACTGCCACTATCTGGTTGTGCCAACCACTCATCCCTACAAATCAGAATAAGTCATCAGCACTAGGAGGGGCAGAGGCAGAAAGTTCCGGAATAAGTGATGAAAATGGCCTACTGGCTACTGCTCAGGTCCTCACTGGAAACCCAGAATCTATCTAGTGTCCCAGATCCAACGGAGAGATAATGGAGTCCCTGCTGCCAGCCAGGCTGCCTGCCCTGGACACACAAGGATGGGATGGTAGGGCGGTAGGGCACAGTGCATATCTTGGTGCCCGTGTTTATGCCTCCTGCCCCTCCCCCTCCTGCCTCCATCCCCAACCAACTCCTGGAAAGTTTCCTCCCGATTGTTCTGTGTGATCAGATCTGCAAGTTGCTCTCTAAGCTTCTTGTCACATTTTGACTTAATGAAGTGCAACTGCTAAGGGATTTGGGTTCAGCGCTCCGGTCTCCCTCGCTCCCTTGTTGTCAGAAAACAGGGGTGGTTGGGGACGGCAACACTGTGCTGTAAGTCGTTATCATTCCGGTCAGTCTGTTTAACACAAAATTAAACAAAGAACTAATTAGTGCCTCATGAATTAATAAATGCACAGTTGCCGGGGAGGAGGGAAGGGGAGAAAAAGGTGGTGGAAGGGAGATACTGGAGTTGTAGAGTTGGGGGGCTTTGGGGGTTCAAGGAAGGCTGGCTGGGGCGCCTTGATGGCTCTCAAGAAGGAGAGCTTGGGATGGACAGGACCACGATGATGCCCTTGCTGGGGCCTAAGGCTCACTGGCCGCAATGTTCACTCTGCCAGCCGAGCCCTACCTACTCCCCAGCATTAGCTTTGGGGTCTCCATTGCCTGTTCCCCCGGTCTAGCCCATAGTCCCTCCACTTAATTCAGCTCAGCTCTCCTCTCTAACTCCGTCAGTTTTCTACTCTTGAGGCTTCAACAGCCTCTTCCACCTCTGCCTGGAACCCATTTTCTCTCTATTGCCCTTTACTTTAACTGGTCCACTCAGTTCTCTGCGGACCCCTCAGCTCCCACCTCAGCTGAGTATCCTCAGCCCACAGAGAAGCCCTCCCAGCCCACTTGATGATCCTCGGGCTCTGGACCCTTTTATGCAGCCTGGTAGGCTCCGCCCCACCAAGCACCCAGCATAGGCCGTCACACTGGCCTAACAGAGAGCGGAGCCCTGCTTAAGAGGACATGTCAAGTACAATTAGCTTTAGCTGTCTAAATACGTCCTGGGAATGAGGGAGCGGCGGTGGGACTGGGTGGCATTCTGGGAGCCCTGGACAAGGTCACCTCATCTCCTGCAATCCCCCAATCTGATTTGGGGATTACATAGACTAAGGAAATTGGTGCTATTCTTCTTGCATCATTGATAAGCCATGAACGAGGGAGAGGGAAGAACAAGGGAACAAACAGCAAACACTTTGTCTGGCAGGGCAGGAGCTAAGGCTGGGGCACGGGGCCTGGCCCAGGCTAGGGCAGACGGGGCCAGGCGGGTAGGCTCCCCACACTCCCGCCGTAGGCTACAGAGGACCTGAGCCTGTAGTAATGATGAGCTACATTCCGTGTTAGTTAAAGACACTCCAGTGTTGTTCCTTGCCCTGTCTGAACCTTCTGTGGGGGTGTCTTGATTCATCGGGGTGGAAGGTGCTGGCCACAGTCTGTTTTTATGGAATCGTAGCTTCCTGATCTTGCCCCCCACCCCCACCCCAGGCACTCACACAGTCACTTGGGAACACCTCGGCATTTGTCATGTTTGTTTCTAGGGCCCAGAAAAAAATCAAGGAGTGGCTGGCGCTACATTCATTGTCTCCAAGAATGCCTACTTAGCCACTAAAGGTTCATGGGAGCCTGGAGGCCTATAACCAGCGTACACATATGTGCTCGCATACACATATTTATACAAACATACTCACGCACACACACACACACATACTTCTCACCTTTGCCCCCACTGGGCAGTGCAGTGTGCAAAGCAGTCTATCTTTTTCTTTTTCTTATTTTGGTTTTTCAAGACAGGGTTTCTCTGTGCAGCCTTGTCTGTCCTGGAACTTGATCTGTAGACCAGGCTGGCCTTGAACTCATAGAGATTCTCCTGCCTCTGCCTTCCCAGGGCTGGGATTAAAGGCATGTGCCACCACTGCCCAGCTAAGCAGCCTGACTTTCTTTGGGTAGCAGCATCCTAGGAGTTGTATGTTCCATGTAACAGCTGCTACTGCTTCCTGAATTTTCCAAAGCAGAGCCCATTGAGCATGTCTGAATCACGGACCCATCTGGCTTACCCTGGGGGTCAGCCCTTCAGCCCATAGCTCACAGAGAACCCTTGGGCACAGAGGGGTCAAACAGCGTGCTTGAAGGGGGAAGAAGTTGTTGGCTTCCTCCTGGAAAGACTAACTGGCTCTTCTTTCTCCCCAGGATGAAGTGACGCCCCAATTGTGTCTGAGGAATCTCTAGGACCCGCTGAGGTAAGGCCCAAGTTCCTCCCCCATTCTGTGTGTTGTGTATGTGACTGCTGCTGTGAGATCTGTCACCCTGGGCTGAGTTCAGTTCCTCTAAGCATCCAAGACTGACTCTGCCTTACCCTAAGCCCCGGGGACTCCCTGGAAGCCAGGGACTCAGGACTGCCCTGGTCTTCACAGGCTGTCACAGTCCCCTGGTGGCTGGAGGAACTGCGGGGCCACCGGGCCTTGGCCCCGGGCAGTGCAGTGTCAGAGGTGACCGGTGGAACGCCAGTGTTATGTAAATAGCGGGGCCTGCCCGGCGGGCGAGCAGGCTGGCTGCAGCCATCCATCATCCCGGCTCCGCGGGGCGGGGGACAGACACAGCACCGTGCGCTTGGCTCCAAACCTGTTTGTTTTCCCTTTGTGTCTCGCATTTCGGGGGGCCGGGCTGCGACCCGCTCCAGTTTTGTCCCGCTGGCCTCCTCCCCATAGGGAGCACCGCGGCATCCCTTTCGGACTTCAAAGGCTCCCCCCAGCATTGTCTGCGCCTGCGGGCAGTGGCCCTGAAAACGTGATCAGAGGCGGCCCGGTGTAGGGCAGGCCCGGCCCGCGCCCTGCGCTCTAGCTCTAGCTGGGGCCGGTGGATTCCTCCCTTTGCCGCCAGCACCACCCTGGTTACAGCGCAGCTCCGGGGAGCTCGCTGCTCTTTCTCTCCTGGCGCCCCTTCTGGCTCCCTCTGGTCGCTCCTTCCTGCTCCCTAGCCTAGCTCCTGTCTCTGCGCGTTGAGACTCTAGAAATAACCAGAGCTGTATGCAGCCTTCCACTCTCTCCTGCCTCCTTAAGAATCCCGAGCCCTTCAAAGGGTTTCCCGGGATGCTGTTAGGCATAAATAAGCTTCCCATGCCAGACCTGATTCTCTGTGCTCACCAGCCCCCCTCTCTGCACAGGACATAGGAGAGCCTTACTTCCTGGTAGACAGTTTGTCCCCAGGAATCACCTAAATCCTCAAAGGCACGATGCTTCCATTTGCTGGCCAAGCCCCAGGCAAACTATAGTTCCTAGGTCACATTTGGCCCACAGCCTGTGTTTTGTAAATAAAGTTTTATTGGAAAGTGGTGCCCATTCATTTTCATATTTTCTGTGGCTGCTTTCACTCTACCATGGCAGAGCTGAGTGACTACAGCAGAAACTGTTTGGCCTATGAAGCATAAGATTATTTCCTACCTGGCCCTTTTACAGAGAAGTTTGCTGGCCCAGATTCTGGTCCCTGATTCCTGTCCCCTCTCTGATGAACTATGCATTGCGTGAGATTTGCCGTTGTAACCTGCCTAAGTGTGTACATCCTTGGGCGTCAAGTGACTCTCTGGTGTTATGTGGTCACCATAGTGAGGCTGGGATTGCATAGGAACCCTGTGCTGGGGTTGCTTTCAGGCTGCTTGAAGCCCTGCTCTGTTGGAGTCTCTACCCCTCCTCTGCTTCCCGCTCTGTTCAGTCCTTCTCACCCTGAAGTCCCACTTCTTCTCTTCAAACCAGCCTCAAGCCCCTCAGAGCCCCTGCATCCAGCGTCCCTCCCGTAGCTTTTACCTAGCATTTTAAGTTCAGATCTGCAGTCATTAGCATGGCCCCCCCGCCCACTTTGCAAGGTGAGCCTGTGTTTCATGCCAGAGTGTTGGGATAAGGGAATGTGTAGAGGCTGAAAGCAGCCATCCCAGAATCCAACAGGAAGGGCAAAGGGCTTCCTCTCAGCCAGAGTTTCCCTTGTGGGCACAAGATGCAGTCTCCAGCCCTGGGACAGTACTGTGGAGCTTTCTTTGACCCCGTCTGAGTCTGAGCCCTTGAAGACAGCAAAGCTTTTGAGTCCGGGGGACCTTTGGAGAAAGAATGTCCCCTGAAGAGGGCACTGGGCAGTCCTAGGCCCCTCACGTTTGTTGCTGGACCCAGGAATATGGCCCAAACTCTTACACCATTAGCTTCTATAAAGTAGGTGTCCTACCAGCCAGGCTCTGCTTCATGGCCTGAGCCGGCTGGAGCTGCTGGGAGGAAGCAGGCCAAGGGAAGAGTCTGGGTTCATGCTTAAGCCCGTGAAGGTGCAAGCCAGGCTGTTGTCATTCTGCTGAGAAGGCCCTGGGGGTCAGTTAAGTGGGTGCTTCCCTTGTCCAGGGTCAGTGATCAAAGCTGCCCTGCTGTGCCACCATGGCTGTGGAATAAACCTGGATGCCAGGCTTCAAGTCAGAGGGGAAAGGTTGGAGGTCTGGGACGGGAGCTGTACAGCCCAGTTTTCGGGGTGTCTCTTTTGTTGCCTCTGCTGCCGTCCCTTCATGCTCTCTGCATCTCTCCTCCCCTCCAGGCCTTCTCCGTACTCCCCATAAGTTTCTTCCTTTTTGATTCCCACCACTCATGCTGCCCCCCCTTCAACTCATGGCTTGCTCTCCCCCTCTCTCTCTCTCCTTTTCATCTACTCGGAAGGCTTTACTTTACTTCCTTGTCACCCTAATTGATTGCATTAACCTTTCAGCGTATTGGATTTCCCCGGCATCGTGCAGAGAGCCCCGTGCAATATGCTTATAATCTGAGCCATAATGGACAGTTTGCAGTCAACAAGCCCTTCTCCCATTGGCCCCGTTGACATATCTCTCTCTCTCTTGCCCAGGCCACCATGGCCATGTCTCCAGCTGGCAAGGGTGAAGTTATAGAATGGGACTTAGGAGGAAGTGAACACAGGATTGGATCTGCTAATGCATGTCCCTGCCTCTCTTGTACCCCCTCCTCCCTACCGGCTAACTTTGCTCTCCTTTTCCAACCTCCAGTTTGCAGTCTCTGTGAGTCCTCTTGGCTTGGCTTTCTGCTTCTGAGGCCTGCTTGATGTGTGGCTGCACTTTGGGTTTTGTCAGTGAGAGAATCACCCGTTGTACCCAGACACCTGGTTACTCCTTTATCTCCCACATCGGTCTGGGGCTTGTGTAATTTGGGGTGGCAGGGTATGTCTTGAGGTCATAGTTTCCCACCTGTCTTTGTCAAGGAAAGAGAAATTACCTAGGCACCAGGGCAGTAAGCCTGGAAAAGCCCCCAGGATGGACTCTGTGATCTGATAGGAGAGGTGGAGTCATTGCGGAGGAAGAGGATGAGTTTGTAAGATGGACTCCATCAAATTGGTTTCCTGAGGGACACCTGCTAATCTAGCAGCAGGTAGAGGAGACAGCCCCTTGCCAGCTGCCTGATCTTTGGAGCCCAGCCCCAGACTGAGTCCCCATCCCCTGTGGGTTCCAGCCAGGCCCTGGGCTCAGCAGCCTCACTCACGTCACTCAGGACAGGATGGCTGTCAGGTTGAATACATTAGTGTCAGCTGGAGGAGCAGGACTGGGGCTCCTATTAGGCCCCGTGGTACTTCCCTCTCTCCCAGACCTTCTCTCTCCAGCCCTTTGCCCGGCATCTTCTCCTGCTGGCCATCCCCACCTCCTGCCATCACTCTATCACTCTAAAGGGCAAGCTTTGGCAAGAGAGGGCTGGACCTCAGTCCTCCCCATCCTCTCCCAAGGATTTTGGGGGTGGGCAGAGGGCACAGCGGGGAGAAACCAAGCAGCGAATTAAAGTTTGTGATTGTCAGCGTCAGGAGAAGCTAAATAACCCTGTAACTAGTATGAAGGTGAATTCACGGTCTGCTGCACATGGAGAATATGAGTGTCTGCAAGACAGCAAGTGGAGCTCGGGAGTCTGCCCGCCACAGTGGGCAGCCTTCTCTCCAGGGACCCAAAGGAGGCGGGAGGAGGCCACGGACTTCCCACCCCCTGGCAGGGAGCAGCTGCCCAGGATCCCCCCCCAGGCATGGGGGAGGGGGAGCGCTCAGTGGCTTGACAACATGCTGAGTGGCCCAGCAACTCGGATGCATTTATAAGCACCAACAGTATACACTCACAGACACCAGCCCAAGCCCCATATTAACAGTGGATACTTACCAGTCACTGATGCCATGTCAGGCGGAATGTTTTCTTCCAGCCTCTGTCCCAAACAGGTGAGGACACTGTTACTCCTCTCCCCATTCTCCCCACACTGTTTTGTAACCTCTGTACTGAAGTATAATCCACATGCCATCAGATCTACCCCTTTTAAAATGTACAATCTAGTGGTTTCATAGTGTAGTCACAAGGTTGTACAGTACAGCCATCACCACTGCTGACTGGAGAACTTGCTCGTCCCCCAGGGAGAAGCACCTATACTCCCTGGCAGTCTCTCTCCTCCCCTTCCTCACCCCCAGACCTAACCAGCTGCTAATAGTTCCCTTTAGATCGGAGGAAATGTAGCCCCAGAGAGGACTGGCGACCTGGTGAGGATTACACAGCTTGCTAGCATTTGAACCCAGGCAGAAGAATCCCAAAGCCAGCATTCTGTGTCCTGGTGTCTGCCCCAACCCCGTGCCCTCCCCTGTGTTTCTGCTAGTCTGGGCTCAGGCATGTACATGCACCATCTGAACATGTAGGCCCAGGCAGCAACACGAAACTCTCCTCTCCCCAGGTATGCTCATGACTCCATGCAGAAAAGCCTCACACACACCCCCTCCCGCGACAGCCTGAATTCCCTCCTCCCCTCGCTCCTTTCCCTGGCTTGTCTTTCCCAGCCCTACTCCTGGAAGGGAGGCTTGGCACAGAAACAGGACGGCCACAGGGCAGCTAGTGTGGCCAGTGAGACCCAGGTGGCTTTGGTGGTGGCTCCTGAGAGATCCCAGCGCCTCCTGATAATTGTGACTGAAGTAAAGTGCCAACATAGCATTGTAGAGCAGGGCGATGCCAAGAGGGGCTGCCAGCAGGGTTGTAGCTACAAGACACCTCTCAGTGGGCGCCTGCTCCATCTCCCAGGCGTCCTCCCATCTTTCTCCTGCTGCTCTTCTGCTGTTTCTCACCATTTTCTTCCCACCTGCCTCTCTTCTCTCACACCCCGATTTCCCACCTCAAAACGTAAACAACAACAACAAAAACTGCTTTTGTAGCCCCGTCCTCTCTGCATTTGCAAAAATTGGAAATTTCTGTGAA